TCAGATCAAAGCCATTGTCATTATCTTCTAAGCGAACGTTTAGATCAAAGCCGTTGTCAGCAATTACATGCGATACATGGAAAGAGAAGAGAGGGAAAGTGAAGAGATGGAGCACGGTAATGGAAAGAGAAGAGGCCGGGGGAAACACCCCCATTTAAATAGGCACGGTGAAACGTTGCGCGCTAAAAATACGGCGCCATTGCAAAAATCACGTGCCAATCAAAAACGAATGAAAAATGGCGCGCCAAAACATGTCCAAGCGCGCGCTACGCCCAGCCGATGCGAAAACGCGAGCACAGGCGCGCCATGTAGGGCCCAAACATTCCCATGTAAAATGAAGCAACCAGCAAAATAAAAGTGGCCACCGGGAATTGAACCCAGGTACTCGCAACACATGGCTCGCTCCAAGAGCCAACTGAGCTTTAGTTCTTTCTCGTATGAAATGCACCCACAATCCTATTTAATAGGGGTAGACAGGGAAAATACCTCCTAGTTAATCACTCCTTGGTAAGCACAATCCTATCCTAAACGACATATTTTACGAGTATGGAGGGAGTACAAAGATAAAAATTGTTGGATCAAGAAACTACTTATTCATCCAATTCAATCATTTATTAGTTATCCATTCACCTCCTTTGCTCCACCTCATAGTCACACATAGCACTGTTACATATTTTGTGCATAACACCATGTTTTCCAAATACAACTCAATTTTTGTTTAATATGTGTGTTTTGTTTTTATTATACATGATAAGATAGCATATAATTATTAGATATCGTTACCTGAATCTATTTTCAGAAAAAACTTCAGTGAAGTAGAGAGATGCAAACTGTCTAACTACAACGATACCCATATTGTACATGAAAATAATATTCATATATTATAGCAATACACACTGACACTTGGAAAAATAAAGCATGAATTGTATTGTAATAACATAAGGCATATATAAATCCACATTATTATATATTTTATATAGAGAGAGAGTTGCACCTAACCATTTAAAACTATAATTTTGTTTGACGATAAAACTAGAAAACACGTGACAAAGACGCAGGGTGCCAACTAGTTTACTGTTTCTTGGTTCAAAATTTTGCCAAATAGCTTAAGTGGTCACTACAACTCCCTTCCCAAAAAAAGAGGAAAAAGGAAAAAGTAAACATGCGCGCACACATGGTCACACCAACCATGTTGTCACACAGCCAGTAGATCCACCATCCTAACCTGTTTCCTGCCTGGATTGAGATCCTCTGACTTTAGGGGGTTAAAGTCAGAGGTGAACAGTATCGTGACTTTGAGCTGCTTTTAGCCATCCGATTTGTAGGGAACGGATGAGATCGATTGCTATAGTGATTTGTGAATAGTGACTATGCTCGGTACATCTCACTGTTTTGCACTGTAGCAACATACTCATTTCACTGTGCGTCTCTGCCTTTTTCCCCTAAAGGCGGAGGATCCGGATCCTTCTCACCCACCACATACTACCCTCTCAAGTGCAGTTAACATTAATCATATTATTTGAGTTTTATTATTAATTTGAAATACCATACAACAATACTAACCATATTTAAGTTTAATTAATTAGTTATGTGTGGAGAAGGTACTACGCACCCATTTGCTTGTTTGTAATAATATCATTCTTCAGTATAATGTTCAACATTCAGAACTAATTGATTGGGTGCATTATATGAATCTTACAAGCTTTTAACACTTCCCCAAGTCCTCTTAGCACTCTCGTTCATTTCAATTCTTAGCTTTTTGAGGCTTACTTTGTGACTTGCATGTCCCATCGTAAATAAGTACTCACGGAGGTCTATACCGATATTTGCTGACAACTATCTAGAAAAGGATCCAGTTCCTCCACATGCAGAGGGCCACTGTTGTTGTGAGGAGAACTGTAAATAAATATAGTGAATAGTACCACTTCACCATTACTACAAAATTCTTCTTTTGCATAGTGGTCATCGGGATCGAAGAAGATGCCATCTTTATGGTAGCAGTTGCGGTGGATGAAGTGGCACATATCCAATTGTATGTTTTCAATGCTTTTACCATCTATGTGGCGGTCATTTTCAATTCTAGGCCTCCGCATCAGCAGCATGAGAAGAAAATACTTGTTAATATTATTAGTCTTACCATCAATTGAAGAAAATCCTTCCTCAAATCTCACATATTTTTGGGTCATTGGATGCGCTTTGTGATTCATGCTTCATGTGCTTCTCCTCCAACTTCGGCGACCTCCTCTTTTTCTTCGGCGCCGACAACAACCCAAACTCTAGCAGACAACCTACAACTTAGGGTCTCGGGTTGGGCGAGGGTTTAAGGGGTGGGAAAGGGAGGGATAAGAAGCGGGTGGTTGATAGACTTAGAGGGATGGCCATGGAATACGACGACTTGAAGTTAGACGGTGGAACGGCTAGTGTTGGTGACGGGGGCAATGTGGAGCAACCCATTAGGAGACGACGGCCAATGGTGGCGGATCCGGTTGTGGGGAGCTGTCAGAGACAAGGAAGACAACAGCGTGGGGGCTCCTCACTGCCGTTCGATAGAGGGGGAGTAGAGGGAAGAGGCCTGACTAGGGAGAAGGGACTCGCCAGCATCGTTAATGCCTCCCAGCGACGCTGGGCGATGGTGAGAAGCCAGCACCATTTCGGACGTGCGGGCGTTAAGGGGAAAAGGAAAACGAATCTCGAAGCCATCCAACGGCTCAAAAATTGTAAGATTTTGAGGGAATGATTCATGTGAAATGTGTAATAGACAGTCCCTTCTTTATTTTGGTTTATTATAGTTAGTGCATCTTTGATTTTTTTCCCCTTCCTTTTTTTAGCTAAAGCATCGTCGGTATGTATACCTTAGAAACTAGGTGATTCCCCACGCTTTGTTGTGGGATTACTAAGCAATTCTCAGTATATTTTTTCAATATGTTGATAAGTATATGTTAAATACTATAAAAATGATAGTTCTATTTGTTAAAACATTGTTCAAATGACATGAGGGGTGATGATTGGATATACTTGCATATTGATTTGTAGAATTAAATATATTGTAGATGATGATTTTGTTAACAGTGAAATTTGGTTTTTTCGCGTCAACGGATGTATGCTTGCATAAGGCTAAATATATAATATTGCTAGTGGGTGATGATGTGGCATGGTTGCATGTTGAGCTTTATACTTAGTGGGTTATAATTTTATAGAAAGTAGGAATAAGTTCATCTGAGGTCCCTGAACTTGTCAGCGGATCCAATTTTCGTCCTTCAACCGGAAAACCAGATACAACGGGTCCTTCAACTATCAAAAACAGTGCAACATAAATCCCAAAGTGGTTTAGAAGGCAGTTTGGCAGTTTTGACTGACGTGGCGCATATATGGCTCCTTTGACTAGGTCTTCGTCCTACGTGGCAATTCATCTCGAAAAAATAATAAAACCCATGGGACCCACATGTCAGCTACCACACAATATAATAAAAAATAGTAGGGCCCATGTGGCCCCATAGATCATCCTTACTACTCCCATCCTATCTATCTTCTCTATCCTCTCTCTCCCAGCAAGAAGGTGGGCAGAGCGACAGGACGGAGCAGCCGGCCGGGGCGCGAAGCGAGCCAGTGAAGCGAAGCAGGGAGAAGGGCGGCAACCGCTCCACTCCTCTCTCTCCCTTCCCCTTTCAGCATGTGGGCGGCAGAGGGCGCAGAGCGGCAGCGGCCAGAGTAGGCCAGTGGAGTGGAGCGGGGCGAGCGGCGGCCGACAGCAGGTAGGGTGAAGCATCGGCAGGCGATAGAGAGATGGGCGCGGCGAGGCCAATGGGCGAAGGAAGGATGACGAGTTGTGGGCCTTCCCCTTCTCCTTTCCCTCCCTAGCCACGGCTGCCAGCGGTGAATCCTTGTGCGCATGGAGGAGGAAGAAGAAGGGATCAGGTCTTCACCGCTGCGCCGCCTGGTCACGGGGTCCACTGCACGCCGCATGACCACCATCGTCACGGGAGTCGTCTTCTCACTATCCTCCTCATCGTCGTCCCCTTCGGCGCCGTCCTCCCACTCGGCATCGCGGGCCCAATCTGGCGAGGTGGTGGTGAGAGGACTGGGCGAAGGGGTGGAAGAAAATGTGGTTGTCGAGGAAGGCGTGGAAAGAGTCATCGGGAAGCGTGCAATGGGCATAGAAGGCGAGGAGGTGGTAGGCAATGAAGCCGATGAGCGCGTGGGAGAGGGCAGTGATGGGCCACGAAGGCTATAGGGAGGAGCAGGCCGAGGATGTGGTCGGTTATGACGGCGGGCGATGGCAATCCACCAACTCCACTTCATCCCCGCCAACATCCAAATCCGCCATCCCGAGCTCCTGGCGTTGGGATCCTCTTTGGCATCCTCTGCGGTCCGTTCAGTGCCGCCTCCATGTACCTCGTGTGGTCCATCATCGCCGGGGCTGGCGCCGCAAGGTAGAGGAGGTGAGGGGACATGTGGGTCCCACTATTTTATCTTCTTGACTACTTCCTCCTTTTCACAATGTAAGTCATTCTAGCATTTCCCACATTCATATTGATATTAATGAATCTAGATATATATAACATCAATATGAATATGGGAAATGCTAGAATATCTTACATTGTGAAACGGATGAAGTACCTGTATATTTTGTTTTAATTTTTAATTTTACCACTTTTATTTTTGGATCAAATTGCCACGCTAGCGCTATGTCAATATCACGTAGGACAAAGACCTAGTAAAAGGAGCCACGTAGGCGCCACGTCATCCAAAACCAGGGAACAATACTGCCGAGGGACCTTATTTACACGGTTTTGTAAGTTGGGAGATACGTTATATCCGTTTTTGCGTTCAGGGATGAATTTCGGACTCGGCGACACATTGAGGGACCTAAAATGAACTTATTCCTAGAAAATATAGATTTGCCCATGAAGTTGGGCTCCAACCGGCCCATCAACCCATCTCGCTGGGCCAGATGGGCCGGACTTGTCAGGGCTAGTCCTACCAGCCCGGACCAGCGAGGCTTCGTCCACGTCGCCATTCACCTCTCCGCACGCACCCACCCACCCACCAACCGAGCAAGGAGGAATGGCGATGGCGGCGGCGAGGAGGGCCCTCCTGAGCCACCTGCGCGTGCCGGTGCTGGCTCGTCCCGCCGCGGCGGCGGGAAGCGTCCCCGCCGCGCGGCTCCTGTCGTCGGCGACGGAGGAGGGGTCCAAGGGCTCGTTCCTCGACAAGGGCGAGGTCGCCGACCGCATCGTCTCCGTCGTCAAGAACTTCCAGAAGGTCGAGCCCTCCAAGGTGAGCACGGTCGCCGACGCGCACCGCACGGCGGATTCGGATCTAGGCGTGCTCGGGCTGTGTAGTGTATTTTTTATTCGCGTCGCATTCCTTTTGCTTCCTGGAATGGAGAGGATTTTCTTCTTCCGAAAAGAGATTCTGTATATGCGTAAGAAGTTGCAAAGTTTTGGTCTTGGTGGATCAATTGGAGCCGAGCCTGAAACATTAGGGGATAGGAGTAGGACAAGAAACAAATCTTGCACTTTGTTAGAAGATTAGATTGTATACTAGTTACGAAAATTTGATTGAGGAACATATGTCATTCGTGATTGATTTGGTCCGTCCTAGGCTGTCAATGGATGATAACACTCTTGTGATGACCTAGCTCCATTAATCCTTGTGTGTAGACAAATTTTGACATTTTGGTGCCTCTAGTGCGGTTTCACTTGCACTACTAGACGCCACATACCAAATTTGAATAGTTTACCCAGTGGCCCCATCTTGATTAGAAGCGATGTGTTGCATTGAGTGGGAATATGTTTTCTTTGTCTCGTTTTTGGCTGCTAAAGATAACATATAGTATTGTGTTGTATTTTAATTTTCTGCTTTTGTTAGCAAAATCTGGAAGTAGTGAACCTCTTGTTGGATGCACTTTCATCTGATCGCTGAAGTTGGCAAATGGTTAATTTACTAGAAAAAGTCATCGGTATTAGACTTATCTGTTTGCACAATTTGAAAGTGGGGCAATATATTATCAATAAATTTTGTTTACCTCTCCACTTGCATCAAGATGTTATGTTTGATGAAACAGTTGTTGTGACTCTGTTCCAGATCAAAATAATTAATTTAATTTGGATAACAATTATAATCCTTTTTTTATTAATAGTCTCCATAATATGCTTAATGTATGTTTGTTAGTCATCAGTGGCGGATCCACCATGGGGTCTCTGGGGTCTCGAGACCCTACTACCCGTATTGTAACCAAGGGAGACCCCATGAAGACCCCACTAAAATTTTCTGTGATACATCTATTAAAAGAGGGGACTATAATTTTATATAGTTTGTTCAGACCCTCCTGTTAATCTTTCCTGGATCCGCCCCTGTTAGTCATGTTAGCATCATTTGTTTGATTTGTCCTGCTACTGTGTTGCTCTTATTTCAACCTGTTTTGAGTGTGTTCTGCTACTGCTTGTTTTGATATTTCTTCCATTTGATTAAATTACATTTCCAAATTCTGTGGACTATTTCTAAGGGATATAGGTCCTTCCATGCCTAAGATATGTTAGTCTCAATGAGCAGCTAAAAATTGCGATGAAGAGGTTACTTGCATATGCCTTAATAGCCTTAATAGAAACCCTGCTGTGGTTCGTGGATGTTACTTGTACCAGGCTCCCTGATACACTGGTACAACAAAGAAGTTTGTTCTTACCTTCAAGAATTTTTAGACAGCAATTCATGCAGTTGTATACTTGCATACCTGCATTTTCTGTTCAATATGGCAAGGCACGTGCAGTTTTTAAAACACTGAGAATTATCTAGCAGCCAAACAAATGGGGGAAGTTTTTATCGTTGTTGGGTTATAGTGGTACTATTGTAGTCTGTCTATATTTTCTGTTATTCGCTAGACACTGAACTTTCAATGGCATGGAATGATATTTCTCTGTTAGTTTAGGGAATGTTGGTTCATATTTGTAGATGTTGCCACTGTCGATAATAATCATTTGTTTATCCAATAAATGTTGCAGGTGACACCAAATGCTCATTTCCAGAAGGACCTCGGACTTGATAGCTTGGATACAGTTGAGATTGTCATGGCCTTTGAGGAAGAATTTGGCTTCGAGATCCCAGATAACGAGGCAGAGAAGATTGACTCCATCAAAACGGCAGTTGACTTCGTTGCCTCTCATCCTCAAGCAAAATAAGGATCTTGAGAATTCTCAGTTACTGATTCCATTAGATCTTTTTTTTTTTGTTGCACGAACCAATCTGTGTCAACAGAGGACCAGTTTTCTTGTGTTTTATCTGCATAACCTTTATTCTGAGGTTATGCTTCTTACACAACTTGAATAGGAAATCAGTTTTTTTATTAATATTATTGGATGCGTGAATAAGCTTCGCACCATTCGGCTGTTTGTGGTTTTATGATGCGATTTGCATCTAAACTGATGCTGCACTGCTGGTTGTAGCCATTATTGTTGTGCAAACAAAGGTGAATCGATAGACCCCCCCCCCCCCCTCCCAAGGGGCCTTTTCTTTTCTGGTCCTTTCCAGCCTCTCAACACTGTATAGGAAGCAGAGTTGGCGATATCATATCACTTGCCTTCACATGAATCTTGCTAGGCATTTTTTTTTTTTTGGAATTCATCCTGGTTTTTTTACTGACGCACCAAATCGGTCATTTCGCACGATGATGAACTTTCGGATCACATGCTAGCAAAGTGACAGTTTATTGGCTTGGCTAATCTATTCTGCACACATTCGATTCACTGGAACCGAACAGATGATGTCGATGGATTGTCATTTTGGTCCATCTCTGCTGCTCTCATGGTCTGGACGAGGGTTGTACATTCTGCAAGATGCAGAGAACTGAGACACGGGTGGCCGCAGCGAGTGACCCGTGCATGCAACCCAACTTAGATGCTGTTTCGGAGAGTTTCTACCGGCTGTAACTTTTTTCAAAATCTTTAACTTCCCTTAATGTTTTAGATTCTTTTCTAGAGTCTTCAGTTACTAGGTTTTAATAATATATCTACTGTTACTAGGTTTTGATAATATATCTACTGGTATTATAAAAATTGAAGATAAAGTTCGTTCACTTTTGGAAATATAGAAGAAATAGTATAAAGGCATGTACAAGGGGGAGGCTAATGGGCGATCGGTTGGCCCCGCCTCCCCCTGTACTCCTCCCTCTTCTCTCCCTTCCTCCTCCCCTTCTTCTCTTTTTACTACAGTACACACAATTTTTTTAAAAAAACAAAAGTTAGAAAAATTTATGTATAGAAATACTATATATAAAAAATATTTGAATTCAAATTCAAATTTGAATCGGGTATGTAAACTTTTGACTTATAAACTTTGGGTCTATAAACTTTAGGTGTATAAATTTTAGATGTATAGAAATACTATATATAGAAAATATTTGAATTCAAATTCAAATTTGAATCGGATATAATTCAAATTCAAATTTGAATCGGGTATGTAAACTTTTGATTTATAAACTTTGGATCTATAAACTTTAGATGTATAGAAATACTATATATAGAAAATATTTGAATTCAAATTCAAATTTAAAACAGTATATAAACTTTTGACTTATAAACTTTAGATCTATAAACTTTAGTTCTATAAACTTTAGGTGTATAAACTTTAGATGTATAGAAATACTATATATAAAAAAATATTTGAATTCAAATTCAAATTTGAATCGGATATATAAACTTTTGACTTATAAACTTTTGGTCTCTAAACTTTATATGTGTAAACTTGAGGTGTATAAACTTTAGGTGTATAAATTTACTAAAATAGGAAAGTAATGCGGTGTCAAAAAATGAAACCAGGTGGAGGAGTGGAGGGAGGGAGGGGGGAGGGGATCGATCGCTGATCCATCCCCAGGGCGATCGATCGCTGATCCATCCCCAGGGCGATCGATCGCCAAACAGGATTTCCGCATGTACAAAGGTAGAGTCAGATATGAGCTCTACATTATTTAGAGACTAGCATCCTACAACAGTTATAGACAATATAGTCTCTAATCATTAATGTATTAAAATATTTTTTCTTACTCTTCTTTCATTTCTTTCACCACCATGCAACAAAATTTGCTCTAATAAATACTAAGAGTCGACTCTAAGACATTGTTATGCATAACAACCATACTCCTTTCTCTTTCTTCCATGTCATCAAATTTACCTGCATGGCAATAGAGAGATCACTAATAAAGACCGTTGTACATGCCCTAAGAAATCTCTTTAAAAACTCGCATACTAACTTAAAACAATCAGACACCTAACTGTAACTCATGATTTTCTAACAAAATATACATATCCAACCGAATTTAAGAGTGAATCTCATATTAACTAAATAATATAATATAAATAAGATTAAAATAGTCTTTATCCGTTACAATGCACGAACATTTTCTAATAGCTATATAATTTAAAAAATAAATTAGAAATCAGAAGCTGAAAACCAAACTTTTTTCCGATTCTTTGGAAGCTGGCTATCGACAGGGCCAGGTTTTGAGAGACTGGAACCAGGATAGGCAGCAGCACACAGGAATTGAAACGCGAACGCGTGCAGATTTGCAGAGACGACGAGGGCGAGGCGAGGTAGTCTGCACTGCACGCGTCACAGGTGGCCGGTGCAGGGAGGGAGGGAGGGAGGGACGCCCCTGCGCCGGCCGGGCGGCCGGCAGGTGTGACGAGGAGTGGAGGACCCTGTCGCCCGCAGGTCGCAGCAGGAAGATTGATGAGATTCCTTCTCACAGATACAGATAATGTGAGACATATGCTCAAGGTCACGGGAGAAGATCGTCTATCGCAAGGGGTTCTAAACGCAATCTAAGGGCCCTTGAATCAAAGGAAGGAATTATGAAAGAATTTAGTAGGATTAAATCCTATACAAAATTTTTTATGTAGCCCTTTAATTCAAAGGATTGAAGTTTTTCACATCCTACAAAATTTCTATGAAATGTCTTATTGCATATAGGTTTTGGAGGAAACTGGGCCCCTTTGAAACACAGGATAGGAAAAACATAGGAATAGAAAAAATATAGGAATTAAAGTGGCATGTTTTCCTAATCCTGCAGGAATGGAAAACATAGGAAATATGAAGAGAGTCCCTTTGATACCACCACAGGAAACAAGCAAAGCATAGGAAAGTTTCCAAGAGGTTGGACCTCTTGCTTATTTTCCTATGAAATTGACCTATAGGAATGTAATCCTATAGAAAATTTTCTATATTTTCTTATGAATCAAAGGGTTTTATAGGAAAAATTTTTTTAGGAAATTGAATCCTCTAAAATTCCTATGGCAATCCTCCAATTCAAAGGGGGTAGCAAGAGGTCTAACTTCTTGGTAAAAATCCTTTGAGTATATCTCTATCATCCGATTCCTGTGTTTTTTCTGTGGTCTAATCAAACTATCATTCCTACGTTTTTCTATGTTTTGCAATCCTCTGTTTTACACTTACATTCCTGTCAGAATCCTATGTTTTTCCTATTCCTCCATTTTTTCATTCCTACAATTCAAAGGACCCTTAAGGAATTGAGATTTGCGAAACCAGATGTAGTGTACGTGGCGTTTCACTCGATCGTAAAACACTACTCCCTCCATCATAAATTATAGCAACTTTTAACTCTCAGGATTTGTCCCAAAATATAACAACTTCTTCACTAACATTCTCTTCCCAACCAATTGTTGAGAATATAGGCATATAATGATTTAATATATTTCATAAATAAATCATGACATTATATAAGTATACTAGCATTAACACATCATTAGATCTACACATGTAAATTAAGTAGTAAAACATGAACAGATCAAATATGCGCAACTTGTCGAACACGTACCGAGGTGGCGGAAAGACCGGTTGCTCGGCAAGAACTACTCGCGGTTGCGAGCGTCGACGAAGGCGCGAAGCACGCGAGCGGAGAGGAAGGCGAGCCGTCGCGGACGAATAGGGAGCAGTCGCGCGAAGCGCTTCCCAAAAACCTTATTGCCGCCTTCTCCCGGTGCAGGACGTCGAAGGCAGAGGTTCCGGAGACCTGCTCTCCCGATCGCCGGTGCACGCCGGCGAGCGGGATGGAATAATCTACGAGCGACGACGCAGTACAGAGTAGGAGGCAAACCCTAAATTGATTTTGCGTGTGTTGCGTGAAGGCGGCGGCTCGGTTTATATAGAGATAGGTCGCTTGATCAGGGCGCCGCACGATCTCCACTCCGCATAACCGAACCGGATAAGTGAATTTTCCTGCAGCAAAACAAAAATGCAAAAGGAGGTTGCATCTGCGCAAGGGTGAGGAGCCAATTTTGCGGACCATTCGACACGTACGTCGTGCAAGGGTGAGGAGCCAATTTTGCGGACCATTCGACACGTACGTCGTGCACACGCGCCGCATGCCTGAGGCGAGCTTGTGTTCCCCCTCTTCTCTCCACCACAACATGCTTCGAGTGGCTAGGAGGTCATTCTCCCTTTTAAGGAGGTCCCCCTCTCCTAGAATAAGCAAGGTGGTACTAAACTCCACATGCATGCCATCCCATGAGGTGGGCTTTTGTGATTTTCTAAAGAATTAATCTTCGAATGGGCCTTAGCCCATCTATTAATTCCAACACCAATCACAACGCTCCACCATTTACTTTCCCCATCTACCTCCACTACTCATTTAATCACAACCCTCCACCACTCACTTTTACCTACTACTTCTTAATAACCGTGTCCAACCGTAAAATTTTTTATATTCTAGGATAACCGTGTCCAACCGTAAAATTTTTTATATTCTAGGACAGATGTAGTACTTACTTTTTATTTGCTGATTCTTCAACATCAGCAGGCAGGGTGTTATTGGACATCTACGTACCTGTAATTCTTAGTTTCATCCGAGCTTCCGATTTTGTCATTTAGCAATTCTGAAAGTAGTTTTCTTTTCCCACTTTTTTCCTGCACGCGCGAAAGGATTACACGTTAATATATTAGGTTTTGTTTCCCCGCTTAGTGGAAATGCCAAAGGTAGAACACGGGCCATTGTTTTCCCAGATAACTCCACAGAAATTCTCTCAGAAGTTATAGTACTTGGATTTGGACAGCTCAACTTCAAAGTACGTGAGGTGAATTAGAGATCTCGTCAGATAGCTCCAAAGCGATTTTATGCCTCCCTGACTGACCTATCACGCACGGTAGTTCACTTCAGCAGAGGAGAGAGGCGCCCACACGCACGGGGCTTGTTTTCTCCCCATTCTAGGCTAGCTACTTGCATGCGGCGAGACGGCATGCACGGCGCTGGTCCTCGATCCACCACAGTCGCCTTTGGTTCTTTCTCCTGCGCATATATACGGGGTGCATGTGCATGTGAGCAAAACATGCGTCGATAGACAGCATCATTTCAACATCAATTCTTGGCCTCCTGTCCTGTGTGTATATATATGCGGCTGTGGTGTTTGTTGTTTTTTCTTTAATTCAAACAAAAATTGCGCAAGCTGAATTAATCCAAGACAATTTTAATCTTTTTCGGTGAGATTGATTGGATAGAGCTCCTACCAATCCACTTTCTTGTTTGGCGTTTCATGCAGTCTTAAATATTCAGAGTTCTTCACGACCCAAAAACAAACAAAAAAAAAGAACTTTTCATGTGGCCATCGACCAAGTATATAACTGCGGGAAAATAAAAAAAAGGAACAGTTTCAGGGAGCCCATCAGGATTCAGGCATTGCATGGCTCTCTCACCGGTGAGAACTGTAACAGTAACAGCACCAACAACTACTACACACCGGATCAGGCTTCTCCACCTTCCAAATCACCTGACTTTGACACTAACATATGAGTTCGATGAACCATAGATCCATATGTCAGTGATAGAGTCATGGTGCTTTTGAGGTAGTGGATCTCAGTGCCCACGGCGGCATGCCACGCGCCGGAAACTACCAAACCGAGGAGAAATCGTCCGCTTCCAACCGCCTGCGCATGTGTGCAACCACCGCACCGCACCATGCATTATTGCCCTTCTCTGCAGGTGATTGCTTAGGAAACAGACCAAGACACAGCGTTATATAGCGTCTCTGACCATCTGCGTTCTTGCCATTTCGGTGCTTTCGGCTGGCTGCACAGCACAGCCACAGGAGAGCTAGCTCTCATCACGGGCCAAATCCAAGGGGGATATCGTATTTCCTGTGCATCGATCGTTTGCTCATTCACGAGCTCACAGACTCAGAGTCTCACAGGGAGATCAAGGAGTCGGAGAAACCTCCTCTGCCTTGCATGCCAGTGAGTGAGTGCGAGAGATAGGTTCACTTCAGGGTGGTTATTGGGGTGAGCACCTGAGCTGATCAGCAGCCATGGAGGGCGTCGGTGTTGGGGTTAGAATTAGAGCGCTGCTCTGCTGCATTGCGATGGCGGCGATGCTTCTCAGTTCCTACCAGCAAGGCCAGGTTCTCTATCTTGCTGATGTTGTCTCTTAAGTCTCTCTTTGAATTGGAAACAATTGTCCGGCCTCGTGTATTATTCTGATATCTTCTCCATTGAAGGCCGAGGCCTCTTACATGCCATGGCCGCCAGCTACGCCGCCGCCACCTGCTGCTGCCGCTGCCAACTCCACCTCCACCGCGGCGGCGAACAACTCGTCGTCGTCGTCGTCCACCACCGCGCCGCCGCAGCAGCCGACCGCCTTCCCCATGGTACGCCCATCAAAACGATCACAGATTATGAAATTAATCCACATTGCGCTCATTTCGTCCTCCTCTCCGATCCGTTCTTGCAGTACGGCGTGACCCCCGGCAGCCTCCGGCCGCAAGGTACACGTAATCTCCATCGATCTCTCGCTGAATTAACCAATCAATTAAGCATTGTTAACTAGGAGTAATTAAGTAGCAATCGGTGGAATAATGCTGTTTGGCAGAGTGCGGGGGTCGGTGCGCGTACAGGTGCTCGGCGACGGCGTACAGGAAGCCGTGCATGTTCTTCTGCCAGAAGTGCTGCGCCTCCTGCCTCTGCGTGCTGCCGGGGACCTACGGCAACAAGCAGTCGTGCCCCTGCTACAACGATTGGAAGACCAAGCGAGGAGGCCCCAAGTGCCCCTAGTTAATTCTTTTTTTTTTCATTTTAGCAGCAAATTAAACCACCATTGTTGAGGGAGGGAGGGAGGGAGGGAGGAAGGAAGCCGCCATGGCTGCAAGCTTTTCAGCCTTTGCTCTGAGCTAAGGCACGGCCCTCATGCATCCAGAGTTTGTTGAAATTCAGATGCGACTCTCTGTGTTCTTTTCCTCTTGTTTTTTTTTTCTGTTCTTTTTGGGGTATCTCTGCTAGAGTGGTTGTTTGTCTGTATTGATTTCGTGGATCTTAAGGTAGAAGATGAGTTGTCGAGATGAATTTTGATCGTGATGTGTTTCGAGTTTGTTTGTAATTTGTATGCAGTATTGAGGAGTAATTTGTATGCTACTATGGGTTCTTTTCTCTCATTTCCCAGCTTCTACCTTTTCATTTTTCACGTGCATATTTGTCGAACAATTAAATAGTTTTATTCAAAAAAAATTCTATACGTAAGTTGTTTCAAAATCTGTTCAATCTCCCTCCGTTTTAGGTTATAAAACGTTTCGACTTTGGTTAAAGTCAAATTACTTAAGTTTGACTAGGTTTAAAGAAAAAAAATATTTTCAACTCAAGACAAATTTATTATGAAAATATATCCAATTATTGATTTAATGAAACTAATTTGGTATTATAAATATTACTATATTTTTCTATAAGCTTAGTCAAATTTAAAATAGTTTGACTTTAACGAAAGTTAAAATGTCTCGTAACCTAGTAAAACGGAGGGAGTATTAAGTACTCCATCCGATTCATATATAACGTTTTGATTTCTTTCCAAGTCTAATATTTAAGATTTAATTAAATTTATAAAAATATAGCAATGTTTTAAAAATACATTCACTATTATATTTAATAAAAATTATTTGGTATACAAGATGTTACTAATTAAACTTATACTCTCTTAATCCCTAAATGTTTAACGCCGTTGACTTTTTAAATCATGTTTGACCGTTCGTCTTATTCAAAAATTTTAAGTAATTATTAATTCTTTTTCTATCATTTGATTCATTGTTAAATATACTTATATATATATATATAGTTTTACATATTTAAAAAAATTTCAAATAAGACGAACGGTCAAACATATTTAAAAAAGTCAACGGGGTCAAATATTTAGGAAAGGAGGGAGTAGTAAATAGGAAAAAAAAGTTAAAGCGGTTAACTACCGGAACTTTTTATATTAGCTTCTTAATTTTTGGAAACATAATTTCCACGAAAGGGAAAAATGGCGCTTTACTCGCACGCCTCCTTCTTCCCGCGCGAAAATCCCCCCTCTCCCGCCCAAAACAAAATAAAACTCCAAACCCACCTCCCCTCCCCCCAAATCTCGCTTCCCAAGGAAACCGTGAGAGATCAGACGCCGCGCGCCGCGCTCGAGCTCCTCCAATTCCCCACGCCGCGATCCATTCCGACCAGCTAGGGATCTCGCGCTTCTCCTTCTCCTTCTCCGATGGGGAGGCCGCGGAAGCCGGCGAAGCCCGCGGCCGCGGCGTCCTCCTCCGCCTCCGCCGCCGCCGCCTTCTCGATCGGTACGTGACCGGAAACCCTAGCCCCCCACGCCTCGATCCATCGGATCCCTACTAGTGTTTGTTTGCCCGATCGGATTGCGTGATACGGAAAATGGGGCGCGCGTGTTGGCAGGCAACTGCAAGGTGGAGATCCACGGGAGCAGCCTGAGGTGCCAGTCCACGGAGCAGGAGGAGGAGGAGCTCACCATTTCTGGGCCCAGGGGCGCGAAGATCGTCGTGTCTGGTCAGTGCGCCGGGTGGCAATTAGTGGTCCTATTTATTTCTTTGGTCGCAGATCATCTTGTTCTTGACATTTTTCTTTTGTGTGATCTTTGTGCAGTCGACGGGGCCAAGAGTTCTTCAGTTGGTGAGTTCTAGAGTGTTCAAATGGAGGACTAGTGGAAGGGGAGTTTAGTCTGTATTTCTTTTCATTGATGCGGTCTGATCTTTAAGTGTTATCTGCAGGTGACGGTTTTGATTTCATCCTTCTCAGTCCGAGTGATGTCAATGAGCGAAACAAGGCATTGCTTCAGGTGGTTAAATTATACAGCTTCTGCATTAATCATTTCCAGTGCACCAGCAAAGCAAGTGAAAGTGGTACATTATCTCGATTTTATATTTCTTTTGCTGGTAGAGTGCACTTGCTTGCAGAGCTAGAAGGTTTACATGGCCGCATATTGGCTGTGCACACTACTATTAGTAGATGTGTAATTCCTTTTTGCACAAATCGATTTAAAGAAAAGAATAGCTGTATCCATGGTGACAATAGGATTTTCAAATACTACCTCTCAGTCAGTGGCTGATTCCATATTGCAAAACCATTGATCATCGTATCAGAAATATTTGGAATAGGATAATTCATTGGCGTTCTTATACTGATTTTCAGGAGGTACTATTGCTTTATAAGCAAGAACTCCCAACTATGGATTATGCTGCTAACACTGGAAGGAAGTCAGGGTTTCTCGAAAAATGCGTGACAAATGGGTACAATCTTATTCTCTTCTTTATCATAAAGTATTTCCATACCCACGGTATAATATGACATATATTGGCGATGCTGATACTACTATTCTTGTGTTTCTTTTTATTTGACACAACTACTGCATTTTGATTGTAAAAGTATAAACAGTTTACATTCTGGTTGTATGTCATGTACCCAGGAAGTACAAGACTCTAGTTCTGAGCTCTACTGCAGGTTATGAAGAGGTAAGCATTAAGAACCAGTAGCATCATCTAACCATGTACATCTATTTCACAATGCATAAATACTACTCCGGAGTCTGCACTGATTTCTTGGATTGCTTGTTTGATGTTAATAAATATCTTAGACATAGCATATGATCCTTAAGATCAGTGTGGCAAAAAAGTTATTATGACAAGATGAGATAGAAGATTTGAAGTGTTATGCTTCTACCTAAACTTGATATTTTATCCTCAGAAGAAAAAACCTAGGATGCCATAGATGGTTGAGTCTACCAACCAGCTCATTTCCAATTATGTGCTTACTATGTTGATTTAATGTAAGATAGTGTTACTTTTAAACCTTGTGCCTGTTTTCACTTTGGTTAATTGATTATTGGCTCACAAGTAGGCAGCAGCACATATTTAATGATTACATCAGGCCAGGTATGAAGTGCTTAGGTGGCAATAAGAAAACATCCATAAAGGGCAAGGAGATAAATAAGTCTCTTAAGTGATCACAGCTTCAATTCCCCTGTCATAGTTTCCAATTATCTAAAAGATATCCCCGATTAAACTGAGTGAGCCATTAACTTGGTATGGCAACTTCTGATCCAACTATTCTCATTTTCCTTTCATCTCACACGAGCATCCTGCTTAGCGCTTGAGAATTAATTTAGCACTTCTAAAAAATTCTGACTAAGTAAACTATGGATAGTGGCTAATGTCTAATGAAACAGAGTTTTCTCTAATTAGCCTTGAAGAATTTTCTGTTCGCTGCAGGCCTTGCAATTAAACTACATTTGATTAAAGCTAATTAATCTTTGACACAGGTAACAGCTGCCTTATCATATCAGCTAGTGCCGGCTGACACACAGTATGCTGAAATACCTCTGGCAGTCGTGAGACCTCCTTATCAACGTGTGGTATGATCAATGTAAATTATATTTCAGTATCAAAACTAGCATCCGTTGCAAGTTTCATTCCTATCCTCTTTGCACTAAGTTTTAAATGAATTGCCTCTGCAAAATTTCTTGGTACTTGGCTTCTTTTCCTACATGAGATCTGTAGGACTAACACCCCGTCACCCAAACTTGAAAAACTAATAGATTTCTTCCTGCGAGTTGCTTATACTCTGTCCTATATATTTGCAGTCATTGATCGATGAAATTCCTTAATCCTTTTTATTTTTTACCCTCTTAAGCTTCATAACTTATGTAATTCTTTAAATGTTTATCTCAGGGTATAGGTCAGCTCTTGTACAAGGAGCTTAGCCAGAGGCTTCGAAATGTTGGCGTCACAACCATATTCTGCTGGGCAGATAATGTCTCAGAAGGATTTTGGCTTAAACAGGCAAGCCAAAATAGATATCTAAATAAATCCAATTGTTTTCATTTCCATTTGCATAATGAATATGCCTTTATTACTTATGGTCAGCAAATGCTAGAGACTAGTAATCTAATGTTGGCACTATTTTAAAGATCGTGTCTCACTTAAGAAACTAAGCTACTAAGCAAGTCTATGTCCTCTAAGCATCAAAATCTGGAAATATGACAATGTGAGTTTTCTTATGGAGTGTTCTGTCATCGTGATCAGTAGAAAAGAAATGCCTGATTAGTGATTGTTTATGTATTCTGCCAATCATTAGCTCCTAAAATCTTATACTCCATCTATCCTGAGTTAAAATTATAATTGGCAAGTGCCGCCACCAGTCACACTTAATGGCTACCTACAAGCGACCCAAGTAATGTCAACCGTGGGCAACTAAATTTCCCTTTTTGTAGCATTTTAGTTCATTATTTGTTAGTGGACTATTAGTCTTATTAACAGATATATCCTACTTTATCAGCACAGATAATCAATTAAGACTTGGAAGTCTATGCTAACTAGATGCTTGGTCTTTGCTTGTGAGTCAATTGCAGGGTTTTGAATCTGTTGGAGAGGTAGATACTAAAGGCAAGATTTGCAGAATTCCAGTAAGGGCCGATATCAAGAGGGCATTATGCTTTCCAGGTGGTTCAATGCTTATGGTTTCACATCTGAAGGATTTGCCAGCTCCTCAAAAGAGTTTACTTTCATCTCAGCAAACATATCAGTTTCACACGTTTGCACCAGATAGTAAGTCTAAGTGAATTCATATTGCTAATTTTCTTTTGGGTTCTGGTATCTCAAACCCGCTATTTCCTGGAACTAATTGTCTAGGCAACTATAATTGTGATATGACATAGATTACATGCAATTTAGCAATTATATGCTTATATATTATACAGGCTTCCTGTAGTTCTGAGCCACTTTTGTGACCTATTACTTGGTTGCAATTTTATTATAATCACATGAATACAATTAATCTAAGTAAATAAAAAATGTAAAGAAGATCGTAGTAGCCTAATATGCCTCACATGGTAGACCAGTATCCATTTATGACTCTTCATTTGTCTTATTAATTTTGACTCTCACCAATCAAGCTTTAACCAGCAATATTTTTAGGATGTCTAATAACATAGCATAAAGTTTGTATGGCTAGATTTGTAATCAAAGTTAGTTAATTTAAATTTTGTATATTTAGAGATATTTTCTTTTGTGATGTTTAAAAATTAACCGTCAAAGTTATATCTGTCAGCGCCAAAATTGGGCTGTAAATGTGAGCAGTGATGGAATAAGCCTTGTGGTCTTTGGTCCTTGTGGTCCTTCTTTTGCTTTTAGGTTGTTTTTCCCCTTTTAGGACAGCATCCTTTCAGTTTTGCTTTTAGCATCTTTCGGTTTTGCTTTTAGCATCCCTAGGACAGCATCTAGCATCTCCTTTATGCTTTATTCAGTTTGGATGCTCTCTAGGACAGCATCGCGTTCAAATTTTAGACTAGTGTGGGCAGCAATTAGCTAGCAGCCATCCAGCCAACTATAGCTATATATATGTATCCAACCTCCCTCGGGAAGGCATGGCTTTTGTGTTTGTGAATGAAGAAAACCAGAAAATTGCCTCATCTCGAGTGCCATCCTCTTCTCAATGAGAGTAACCATTGAAATTCTAACATCTGGTATCAGAGCCACACTTTCCTGTAGGCTAAACATCTCCTGTTCCACCCCTTCCCAAGCTCGGTTGAGCACTCAGCCAGTAGCAGCAGCAGCACCAGCTGCTCCTCCTTCCCCTTTCCCTTACCCCTCTCCACACAGTAGCCCCCCGGAGGCGCGCCATGTCCGACGTTCGGTCTCGGCGTTCGGTCGCCTCGAGCACTCGGCGTCAGCAGGACGCCGAGCTCGCCGCAGCAGAGGAGCGCAGGCGAGCAACGGCTCAGACTGCTGCAGCAGCAGCGAGGGCGGCCAGACTGGCGGCAGCGGAGTTGGCAGCAGCCAGGGCGGAGGCGGAGGCAGAGGTGGCGGAAGATGCGGCACGTGCGGCGGAGGTAGAGGTTGAGACCTTGCGCAGCAGCATCAACGGCTCCATCGCCAGCGACATCACCGCTGACAGGGAGCTTGAGGAGCTGGCAAGAGGAAGGGCGCGGGAGCGGGCAGAGCGGTGGGCAGCAGTCCACCCCCACGGCGGCGGCGGCGGCCCAAGGGACCGCGCGCCCGCCGACGGGAACCCGGACGGGCGCGGGCGTGCCGGCGGCAGCCCGGAGCCCGCGCGCGGCCCTCGCAGGCAGCGCGGCTCTCCCTCCCCTGACCGGTGCCATGGTCACCACGGCGTCCAGACGGTGGTCAGGGACTTTGGTCCCGGCGGTGGGTGGCCTACCCTCACCAAAACCAACTACATCGAGTGGGCCGCGGTGATGAGGGTGAGGCTCCAGGTGCGGCACATGTGGGAGGCAGTCTGGTACAGCGACGTCGACTACGACGAGGATCGGCGGGCACTGGATGCCCTCATCGCTGCAGTCCCGCCCGAGATGCAGTTCTCACTTTCCCAGAAGCGGACTGCCAAGGAGGCCTGGGACGCCATCGCTGCGGCACGCATCGGCAGCGACCGCGCCTGCAAGTCCACACTGCAGGCACTCCGCAAGGAGTGGGAGAACCTGGCCTTAAAGCCAGGTGAGGATGTTGATGACTTTGCCCTCCGTCTCAACACTCTTTTGCAGAAGATGGTGCAGTACGGCGACAACACCTACAACGAGGAGAGAGCTGTCGAGAAGCTCTTCCGCTGCGTCCTAGAGAAGTACAGACAGATTGCTCGCTCGATCGAGTCTCTGCTGGACCTCTCCATGATGTCGATCGAGGAGGCGTTGGGTCGCCTCAAGGTCGTCGACGGTGATGAGCCACAGCCTCTCTCGGGGCCTACCACCATTGGCGGGAAGCTCCATCTCACTCGGGAGCAGTGGGAGGCCTCTCAGGGTGACAGAAGAAAGGGGGAGTCTTCTCCCTCGACAGGCGGCCTCAAGCCACGCAAGGCACGCGGAGGTGTCCAGCTGCGGTGGGCGCGAAGACGCGCCGAGGGTGGCGCTCGCAGAGGCGCCCAGGGCGGCGCCGCCGGCAACCACAAGCCGGCACGAGACGACACCTGCCGCAACTGTGGCAAGCTTGGCTATTGGGCCAAAGACTGTCGACAGCCACGACGTGGCCAGGCGCACGTCGCACAGGTGGAGGAGGAAGAGCCGGCTCTGCTCCTGGCACACGCAAGCATCGAGCTTCCTCCAGCGGCACCGGCCGCAGTGGCTTTCCTCCACCTTGATGAGCCGAAGGTACTCGTCTCCCTCTGCAACGGCTCCAGCAACGACAAGGCTGATGGGTGGTACCTTGACACCGGCGCCACCCATCACATGACCGGCCGACGGGAGTTCTTCACCGAGATCAAGGGCGTTGTCTCCGTCACCTTCACCGCCAAGTCCGGTGAGCACAGGCTGCTCACCGGAGTCTACTACATCCCCGCGTTGAGGAATTCTATCATCAGCGTGGGACAGCTGGATGAGAACGGCTCACGCGTGTTGGTCGAGGACGGACTCATGAGGATTTGGGATCGCCGTCGTCGCCTTCTTGCCAAGGTAACCAGAGGTACTAATTGACTCTACATCCTCGGCGCGTAGGTCGCACAACCAGTTTGCCTCGACGCTCGTCGGGACGACGAGGCATGGCAGTGGCACGAGCGCTTCGGGCACCTCCACTTCGAGGCCCTGAAGCGCCTCAGTGCCAAGGAGATGGTGCGAGGCATGCCGTGCCTTGACCACGTGGAGCAGCTCTGCGACGTCTGCCTGGTAACGAAGCAGCGGCGGCTCCCTTTTCCCCAGCAGACGAACTTCCGAGCCAAGGAGCGGCTCGAGCTCGTGCACGGGGACTTGTGTGGCCCAGTGACACCGGCCACACCAGGAGGATGACGTTACTTCCTGCTGCTCGTCGACGACCTCTCCCGCTACATGTGGGTGATGGTCCTCGGCAGCAAGGGAGAGGCTGCGGATGCCATCAGGCGCGCGCAGGCCGCTGCAGAGGCGGAGTGCGGCCGCAAGCTGCGCGTGCTGCGCACCGACAACGGCGGCGAATTCACGGCGGCTGAATTCGCGTCATACTGCGCTGATGAGGGCATTCAGCGCCACTACACCGCGCCGTACAACCCGCAGCAGAACGGCGTCGTCGAGCGGCTCAACCAGATGGTTGTGGGGATGGCTCGGGCTCTCCTCAAGCAGAGAGGGATGCCGGCCATCTTCTGGGGGGAGACGGTGGTGACAACCGTCTACATCCTCAACCGCTCGCCTAAAGGCCCTCGATGGCAGGACACCGTACGAGGCTTGGCATGGGCGCAAGCCGGCGGTCTCCCACCTACGGGTCTTCGGCTGCCTCGCGTTCGCCAAGGAGCTTGGCCACATCGGCAAGCTCGACGACAGGAGCACCCCAGGGGTGTTCATTGGCTACGCGGAGGGCTCGAAGGCCTACCGCATCCTCGACCCGGAGACACAGCGTGTGCGCACAACGCGCGATGTAGTGTTCGACGAAGGGCGAGGGTGGGTATGGGACAAGGCGGTGGATGATGGTTCGACTCTGACGTACGACGACTTCACCATCGAGTACGTCCACTTCGAGGGAGCTGGGGGAGTAGGCAGCTCTTCTTCACCGAGCGTGTCTACCCCAGTCCTCGAGCCTCCACCGACTCCAACACCAACACACTCTCGGGCCACGACTTCGACTACGACGAGCTCTTCGTCGACACCACCCCAGCCGGTGTCCCCACGCGCTCTAGTACCAACAGCCACTCCTCCGGGCACGTCTACTCCGACGCCAGCTCGTGTTGAGCGCAGCCCGGTGGAGTTCGCTACTTCGCTCTCCCACGACGGGGAGCGCATCGACGCGTACCACGACGGCGAGCAGCTACGGTACCGTACGATGGAGGATCTTCTCGGCGACCAGCCGGTGCCGGGACTGGTGCCTCGCGACATGGAGGCGCAGTTGCACCTTGCGTGCGACGACGGTGAGCCTCGGTCTTTTGTAGAGGTCGAGAAACATGCGGCATGGCGTGCCACGATGCAGTCGAAGATGGACGCGGTTCAGGAGAACCGCACCTGGGAGCTTGCTGACCTCCCTCGTGGTCACCGCGCGATCACCCTTAAGTGGGTGTTCAAGCTGAAGAGGGATGAAGCCGGAGCCATCGTCAAGCACAAGACTCGCTTGGTGGCACGCGGCTTCATGCAGCAGGAGGGGATCGACTACGACGATGCCTTCTCTCCCGTGGCACGGATGGAGTCCGTGCGACTCCTTGCGCTGGCTGCTCAGGAAGGCTGGGGTGTCCATCACATGGACGTCAAGTCGGCATTTCTGAACAACTTGAAAGAGGAGGTCTACGTGCACCAGCCGCCGGGATTCGTGCTCCCTGGCAAGGAGGGCAAGGTGCTACGCCTGCACAAGGCCCTCTACGGCTTGCGGCAGGCACCGAGGGCGTGGAATGCCAAGTTGGATTCCACGCTCAAGGGGATGGGCTTCGAGTAAAGCCCGCACGAGGCGGCCATCTACCGGCGGGGCAATGGAGGAAATGCCTTGCTGGTGGGTGTCTACGTCGACGACTTGGTGATCACTGGCACCAAGGATGCGGAGGTGGCGGCGTTCAAGGAGGAGATGAAGGCCACCTTCCAGATGAGTGATCTGGGGCCTCTCTCCTTCTACCTGGGGATTGAAGTGCACCATGACGACTCCGGGATCACGCTTCGACAGACCGCCTACGCCAAGCGCGTTGTTGAGCTGGCTGGGCTCACCGATTGCAACCCAGCTCTCACTCCGATGGAGGAGAGACTGAAGCTGAGCCGCGACAGCACGACGGAGGTGGATGCTACACAGTACCGGCGCCTTGTGGGGAGCCTTCGCTACCTCACCCACACACGGCCGGACTTGGCCTTCTCCGTCGGCTACGTCAGTCGGTTCACGCAACGACCGATGACGGAGCACCAGCAGGCAGTGAAGAGGATCATCCGCTACGTTGCGGGGACTCTCGACCACGGTCTCTACTACCCGAGGTGTCCTGGCAAGGCACACTTCGTCGGGTACAGCGACAGCGACCACGCCTGCGACATCGACACCAGCAAGAGCACGAGCGGGATTCTCTTCTTCCTTGGCGAGTGCCTCAAGCAGCAGGTGGTGGCCCTGTCTAGCTGCGAGGCCGAGTACATGGCGGCATCCGCCGCTTCGACCCAGGCGCTCTGGCTTGCTCGACTGCTTGGTGATCTCCTCGGCAGAGACACTGGAGCGGTAGAGCTCAGGGTGGACAGCAAGTCCGCTCTGGCCCTGGCAAAGAACCCCGTTTTCCACGAACGGAGCAAGCACATCCGGGTGAGGTACCACTTCATCCGAAGCTACTTGGAGGAAGGGAGCATCAAGGCGAGCTACATCAACACCAAGGACCAGCTTGCGGACTTGCTCACCAAGCCTCTTGGGAGGATAAAGTTCCTCGAGCTCTGCTCCTGGATCGGGATGGCCCAACTTTCCCACAAGACGACACACAAGACTTAGGGGGAGAATGATGGAATAAGCCTTGTGGTCTTTGGTCCTTGTGGTCCTTCTCTTGCTTTTAGGTTGTTTTTCCCCTTTTAGGACAGCATCCTTTCAGTTTTGCTTTTAGCATCTTTCAGTTTTGCTTTTAGCATCCCTAGGACAGCATCTAGCATCTCCTTTATGCTTTATTCAGTTTGGATGCTCTCTAGGACAGCATCGCGTTCAAATTTTAGACTAGTGTGGGCAGCAATTAGCTAGCAGCCATCCAGCCACCTATGGCTATATATATGTATCCAACCTCCCTCGGGAAGGCATGGCTTTTGTGTTTGTGAATGAAGAAAACCAGAAAATTGCCCCATCTCGAGTGCCATCCTGTTCTCAATAAGAGTAACCATTGAAATTCTAACAAGCAGGGGGAGTATTTAAGGCACATTACAAGCCTAAATTACAGAAACTGCTAGCCAAATATGCTTTATCCATTCAATGTTGAGAGCAATCTACTTACATTTAGCTTAATGGTATGAGCACTTGTGCATTTGCACAAAATAAGTTCAATTTATCTGGAGTGATTTTTTGTGGTCTTTTTCAGGCATCTCTCCAAGTGATACCGGTACTTCAACTCCCTCCTGTGAAAAATTGCTTCCGCAGACAGTTGCATGCCACAAGGTCAGCAAGACTGCAGCAGTGGAAAAAAATGAAGATTTCCATGGTACCGGAGGATGTTCATTTTCTGACCAACAAGAAAATAAACGTACACATGAAACCTCATCATCTTCACTAAAGTCAAAAAGAGTAAGATGTTCCCAACATTCTGACCATCACCAAGACATGAATCAAAATGAGATCTGTGGCAAACCCCTTTCTATAAGCAACACCCCCATACATGAAAATTCAGTGCATCTGATGCCCAACGAACTTTCTAATCCAAGCATGGTAGGTCATGTTAAAAGCAAAATATCAGGAGATGCAAAGGCCAATATCAGTTCCAATGGAAGTCCTTCTGTTATGCTCATGAATATTGCCGATGAAACAAAGAAGACACAACTTATAGAGGTAATTTCTGTGACAATCTTCATCTTTGAGAAAATATAAGCGCCATGTCTAATGTTAAGGGAATATGAATCATGAGGATGCACTCATTGCACAACTAGGCAAACTTTGATGCATTGAATAAAATGCATTATTCTTTCCCTTCCTTTTTTGTTACTGCAATGCAATTTCTCTTCTTTAAGATGAAGTAAGTTGTGAATCATGTCGCAGGTAGTTGAGATGCTTGGCGGAGTAGTCACTTGTGAAGGAAATTCATGTACTCATGTCATTACTGGAAAAGTTCGAATGACTATGAATTTCTGTATTGCTTTGTGCTCTGGGTTAGTTTTCATCTAATTTCTCCTTCAACAAACCACAGACGCCTTATGCTTCCATCTTATTTCAAACTATAAGAAAAATATGGTTTCTTGTGTTTACCCTCACTTAATTCAAAATTTCATGTATGATGTTCAAACATGGTACTCATTGTAGAGTACTCCCTCCGTCCCAAAATATAAGCATTTTTAGCTATGAATACCTGTGTCCAGATTCATAGCTAAAAATGCTTATATTTTGGGACAGAGGTAGTAAGAATTTTGAATAACTAGAAACCATATACTCCTTGCAGAGCCTGGATAGTTTCTCCAAAGTGGCTGAAGGAAAGCTTCAAAAAAGGGAAATTTGTAGGTGAGCAAAAACTTGATAACTGTAGGTTTGATGTGTTTTTGTGCTGTCAAATATATGAAAAAACATGAGCAAGAAATTTTCATAGTTTCTTTAGTTCGTGGAGGCTGGAGCTCTTATTGTAATTAAGTAGGTGTTTAAACCCCTAGTACTCCATCCATATTGAACAAATGTACTGCATGAATGTTCAAAGTTAAAAAAAAGCATTATTACTTAAAGTCCATGGTAAAAAGCAACGACTTATCTCCTTCCATTCTCTTGCTCTTTTCTGCTTTCCTAGGAGAAGCAGAATATGTTTTTCAAGATGATGAATTTAAGGTGAAATACAAGTCTGAACTGAGAGATGCAGTTGTGAGAGCTAAAGAGAGGCCTTGCTCATTATTTTCTGGCTACACTTTCTGTCTGACGAAGAACATCCAGCCCTCCGTCAATGTTCTCTCTCGCATCATTAAATCTTCTGGTGGCAAGGTAACTTCATATTGTCAAGCTGTTTCAAAATCATGTATACCCAAACTTCTGGTGAATATATGCCACTTTTTATATTTGGGATTGATACCTTAACTTTAGAAGGTGTTGTATACAGCTACATAATCCCTCCGTTACACATTATAAGATGTTTTGGTCTCTTCATCCTTCGACTAGATTCACTATCATTCATATGAATTTGGACACATATGAAGCACATTAATGGATGCATTAATGAATCTATTCAAAACCCAAAACATCTTGTAATGTGAAACGGAGGTAATATTTATTTGAGATTCATCATGACCCATGGGAATTATGTAGAACTTCTATATTCTAGTGTCAGACATGAATTTTTTGCAATGATCTTTCAACAGCTTCTATTACCAGTGATGTTCAAATGTAAAAAGTCTTATACTTCGGTTACAGAATAGTATAAAATATTTACATAAAGACGATAGTTAAACTAAATGCATCGCTTTGATGAATTACTGGCAAACTGCTGCCTGTGTGCTTAAATGGTTGAATGTCACCATTAGTTCTGAGTTAGCAAATGCAGTTATACTAGTACTTCATTGAGGAGTATTATTCAAATATATTTACTTTACAGCTCATCAATAAGCTGGATGACATAACTCAGCCCTTGAAGACAATCTTCTTAGCGTGTGAAGAAGATATGGAACTTGCATTGGATGCTGCAAAAAGAGGCATCAAAACATTCAGCGGTGAGTGGTTCTTGAGCTGTGTCATGACACAAGAGCTTGACCTTGAGGCCCCTCAGTTCACTGAATCTCTCTGATAGTAGGCCTGTAGTTTTAGTCAATACAGACTTCATCCTAACTAATACCTCGTTAGTTGGAACTGTAAATTATTCTTTTGGTATCTGAACGGTTAATGTTTATGTGTAAATATGAACATTATATTTTTTTAGACCTCTATAAACTATCGAGCTATATTTATGCTCGGAAACTTTGGTGCAATTGTTGTATGATTTGAATGAATATTCTTAAGTTCTAACCGGGCTAATCTGGTAAATATAAATGCAAGAAGATTTCAGACACATTTTAACATTAGTTTTGTTGCATATTGTGGTTTGCAACAGTTTTTCTTTTAGCTTTTGTGTTGCTATATTAATTGGTTGCCATGTTTGTGAGCAGTAAGTTACATAAAAAAAATACTCTATATAAGAGGCATATACGTTTTTCTTACGGATCATGAGCCTTTACATGGTGTTTTATAGGCAGTGAGATGATGTTTGGTACATATCCTTGAAAATGTAGAGTAGAAAGATAGCATAGGTTTCAAAAATCATATGGAGATGGCATGGAAAACTAATCATATACTATCATGACAACTGAATCATATCTAATCCATCAGCATGGATCCATTCCATTAGCGTCCTTTCCACTCCCCATCACCTCATGGCTTCACCTCTAGCTCCACTGTTTCTGGAGCTAGAGTCTAACCAAATGCTCCGTCTGTCCTAGAAAGAATTAGCCTAGGAGAGGAGGGGATGTGACTCCTCCTAGGTTGATGTATGTGGATATAAGGGGTGTCCACATCCCCTCCTAGGTTGATTCTTGTTTGTATGGAGGGAGTAGTTTTAGATCTACCAAAAAACAAAAAATAAGTGAAAGCGAGCTAAAGTGATCTGAAAAGATAAACTAGAGAGGTGGAGCAGGGTTTAGGCTGCTGTACAATTCTACTCCAGATTTCGTTTCTGGGGAGTTTGGATTCTGCTGAACATAACCCTATTTAAAATTGCATTAAAATATGTTATTATAAAAATGATAAGGTTTTGTACTGAAGTAGTAGTATTTGGGATAAGAAAACGAAAAAGATAGAGCAAATTTTGCTACAAAACTTTTAAAATTTATGTAATTTGTTGGCAAAGATGTTTCACACCTGAAAGACATCTTAGAAAATTGATAATTTGCTAGTGGACACTTTTGGCTTAATTGAAAAGAGAGATTCATCAAATAGATGAGAATGCCCCTTGGGCCATAGGCTTCTAACATAGGATTGGAGTAAAAATTTGAAAATTATGCAGCTCTAATTTCGCCATCACTTAAAGTATATCGCTAACGTAGATCATATTCCAACTTCACCCTAGCATTAGGTTATAAGCTTTTAACCCTAAGAGCATTCTTGTATTTTTTAAGCATCTCTTTTTAATTGAGTCGAAAGTGATATTTAGCACATTACCAAATATTTAAAAGTGTCTGTCAATTACTAAATATTTAAAGGTATCTGTCAATCATGATACTTTTTTCGATGTCTACTGGTAAATCGCATGAATTTCAAGTGTTATAGTATGTAGCAAAAATTGCTTAAAAAAATGGATGACCTCACCCGAGTTCCCCATCAGAAGCAAACCCTCACCTACTTCTCCCCATCTCTCTCGCTCCGCTTCTGTGTTTCCGGCGGAGGCACGGCCACCCCCACCCTTCTCCCCCACCTCGCCTCGCCTCGCCTCCTCCTCGGGCTCGCCGCCGGCGAGCAGGGCACCGTGGGGGGACACGGCGTCGACGGGCCTCCTCTCCTCCCTGACCCCGCCCTCTAGCCTTCTCCCCCTTGCGTGCGGCCTTCTCGCACGCGCGCGCGGGTACCACGAGCATCCCGGTGATCGAAAAATCGAAATCGAAGGTATTGCAATCCTTCCCCCCCGCATAGCCCTCTCCCTCCCCCTCGTCCTCCGCGGTCGCTTCATGTTCCGGCGTGGTCGTAGGTCGCAGATCCGTTAGGGGGTTGGGGGCTGGTTTCATCCCCTCCGGTTTAAAAATCCATCTAGTTTTTGTCTCGATTACATTTGTTTTGACGCATTTGTGCGTTGTGCGTTGTGCAGTGCTAAATTACCACTAATAGTCTAGTGATTTAGATTTTTTTTTTCAACAAAAAAAAAGCTGAACCCTATGCCCCACGTTAGGTTAGCCTCTCTACATCAGGCGCATGAACTACTCTAGCACAGTTTCAGCAAGTTCCATTCTGGCTTTGAATGGAATGGTTTGCCTCTGTCTGTCTGTGTCTATGACAGTATCATACTATCTTGTGAGCACCTTTGGAATTCATGAATTTTACAGAATTTTCACATGATGAAACAGTTCAAGTCACATGAAATTCCTCGAAAAATCATACGTCCCAAAAGGACGCTTGAACAAAACACAAAAACACACACACCCAAAAAAAACCCGAAGGAACTGCCTCAATATCCTTCCAAATGATACTGTGTGCTTCTTTCTGTTATAAAAAATGAAAGGAAAACGAACTGTTGTTTCACCTATAACCTATTGATGTGCTGTTGCTGATGATACATAAAGAACTAGTCTACCAAAGAGTGGAGAACAGAACCAGAACGCCATTGGTAATTTGGTATAGAATGAATCATGGATGGAAGACAAGTATCCTGTTCATGAGCTTGTCAGTCAACTCCCACGGTCTTGTAGCTCGTTCATGAGAGGAATCAACTCCACAGTACCCGTTCCAGCATCGACCACTTTGATTCTTTCATCTTCGACAGCCACATTCAGAGCATGACAGCTAGAATCATCTGCGACAAGGACGGAAAATTCAGCAGTGTCTTGACCTCCTTTCCTAGCTTCAGTAGATTCATTGTCCTGAAGCATCTCTGCCGGGAGGAGCATTGAGTTTTGGTCACTCTGGGGAACAAGAAACAGCAGCATCAGCGGGAGCAGCCTCGACAAGTTTCTGATCAGGACGGCAACCCAGAGGTTACTGAACTCTGTTCGAGTCACATTCAGCAAGTGCAGCATCAGGCCACCCCACCAGCCAGACATCAGCAACCCGGCATTTTGGATGGACATGAGCAGCGCATAGAAAGTTCCTTCGATGCCTGGAGGACAAAGCTTGGAGCAAAGCACGAGGAGCGGCAACCATTTGAGCCTCCCAACCATCTGGGAGACACTGTTGTCGATCACCGCAAAGACGTAATCCGGAATGCCGATTCTTGTGTTGAGCCGGGTCACCATTATCAGATTGAGCATTCCTGCCAGGCTTGAAAGAACTTGGCCCCAGAATAGCACGCCGCGGAAAGGGTAGTCCTTCAGTGAAATTTGGTATAGTAAAACTCCGAGCAGCGAACCGATTGAACCGACCGAATACACAAGGCCAATAAATTCCTGAAATAAACGATCGAATGACGCAATCGAAGTGTCATCAGATGATTAAAATTAGAAGAAGGTCAAATAACTGAATTTATCTAAAACCACACCTCATTATATGGATTTAACAGTGGTATGCATTCTCAGTATTACAGTCCATGCAAATGATGCGATGAACTGATGATATCTAGCAAATATCTATATGCAGGAATGTGCATACCTCAGAGAATCCTGGTCCCACTATTGGATCAGTGTACCAGTAGAACATTCCTGCTTGGATATCCAGGCTTAGACTGAGAGAAACATACATATACACACACGGCCGCCAAACTTCAGTGTTGCCCCCATGGACTGAATTGCTTTGTAGAATTTCCTATGAACCTGAATCCATCAAAGCACTCAAGTGGCATCACTGTCCATGCCTGAATTCAGCAATCTCAACACACAAAAGGAAAGGTGTTCAAATTTTGTCTTGACATTCTGACCTGCTTGTAATCGAAATCTGTAACTCGCCTCTCCTTCAGCAAAACACCAGCCAAGAACACCAGTGCAGAAGGGATGCTTAGTAATCCAAGAGCACCCTTAGAACAAGAAAAGAAAAAAAAAGCAAGAATCACAATCATATCAATTGACATTGTGTGAGAAAACAAATGATGATGCAAATCATTATCTAAGGTCAGGGAATATCACACCTGAGACCCTATGGAGTGGACAAGAAGACCGCTGATGGAGAATCCAAGCAATGCCCCAACGGAGGAGCTGAACCCACACAGGCTCTGCATGTCTGCGGCTAGCGGCTGGTGCGTGATGCTGTTCTGAGCAACCAGCGCGTCCACCGTCACGTCGGCCACCGCCGCGCCCGCGCTCTGCGCCGTCAGCGCCAAGATCGCCGGCATGATGCCCAGCTTGCGGTGGAGAGAGAGCGTGAGCATGGACGACGCCCCAATCACTCCTGAATGAATCACCGAGAGAAGTGATCAAGAAAGGCGAAAGCCTTCGAACTGCGAGATGGGATCGAGGAGGCGGAGGCTGCAATCCCCTCACCGGCAGGAGGAAGTACGGGCGGCGGCGGTAGCCGGCGACGGGGACGACGTCGGTGAGCAGGCCCTAGATGGGCTTGACGACCCAGGGGGCGCTGACGAACCCCTGGTAGAACTGCGCCGCCGACGGCTGCACGCGCTGCACGTCCTTCCAGTAGTACCCCGCCGTGACGCCGCCGACGGCGTCGCCGACGCCCTGGCAGGCCCCGTAGACGGCCACGACGGCGAGCACGAAGCTCCAGCGCAGCTCGCGGGACAGACGCCGGAGCCAGCCGCCGGGGAAGGAGGCGCCGCCGCCGGCTTCTCGAAGCGCCGCGTCGTCGTCCTCCTCTTGGCGATCCATCTGGGCAGCGATTTCTTGCCGGGGGTTTCTTGGGGATCTACGGCGGAAGCCCGCCGGAATTCGCACGGCTAGAATGCAGGTCTCGCGATTGCTCGGTGGGAGAGATTGACGAGGCGCATCTTGGCGTTGGCGAGCTGAGCAAGAGCAAGTGTGCGTTGATGGGTATCTGCGCTCAAGGTTTTGACTTGACACCCCCCCCACCCACCTTGCAACTATTATAGTACTGTATACTCCTACTAATTTAACCATGGTAATTTTGCACCATTAATCTATGTACTAGTAGTAGAAAACTGGGCAACATGTCAACACTAATTTTGCCTTTGTGCCTTTTACTATTGCGCATCACCTCTTTGCACTGCGTTATTACTGCGTAGCTGCTTACGACCTGATCAAGGCCCGACAGGAATTAATAAGTGAATATGAAATAAGTTCACTTTCGACATTTAAATGCTGAGTTTGAATTGCGTCCTTATCCACAATACCAGTATAATATGTCAGTTAATTTATAATATCGGTGTACCCGAGATTCTAAAACAGTATAACACCCCATTTTAACTGACATGATTAGCCAACTATGATCATAATGATCGAGTAAGCGTGAGACCCACATGAGCCCCATATATCAGCGGTCAACTCTTTTTTTCCTTCATCGCCCCTTCTCTCTACCCATCCCTCTTGCCAATTTCTCTCCACCGGTGGAGAAGGCCAGAAGGGCGGTGAGCAGCGGGAAGAAGGATAGCGGCCAATGGGAGAGGGGTGACAACCAGTGGACTAGAAGACCTTGAGCTTGCCACGCGGCTGCTCGAGCAACCCTCACCCTCAGGAACCCAGCATCGACCTCGATTGCGTAACATCATGTTGCCCCCTCGGCTTACCCCGATGGCAACACAAGCTACGTGGCCAAGGTCACTACGGGGTTCTTGAGCATGATGGCTTTTCCAGCAGCTGCTCCAGTTCCTGTCGGGAGAGAGATGGGGAAAAGGGATGGGTAGATAGATATTAGGTAAAGGGACTCGGTAGAGAGAGTTGGCTGCTAACATATAAGACCCATGTGGGTCTCACGCTGACTCAACCAGATTGATAATAGTCAACTCGTCACATTAGTTAAAACTGGATGTTATACTATCATGTGACCTCGGTTACACCGATTTTGCAAATTGGTTGAAGGACACAATCTAAACTCATAGTCAATAAGAGAGACCTAAAGTGAACTTATTATAATGAATATTGACTATTGAGTTGGCCCAGCAGCCCACCATGTTCATAAGAATAAGGTCCATGACAACTGCTGCTCACCTACTCTCCGCCTCTCCCAGTCTCCTGTTCGTTCCTCTCTCCCAAGTCTAGGGATGAAAGTGGTTGGAAATGGTCGGAAACGGCATCATTATTTTATTATTTTTTAAAAAACAAGCAGAAACGGTCGAAAAATTTTCATATTCATGAATTCATCTATTTAGTGTCAACTTCAATGCCACGCCGATAGAAATTAAAAAAACTAAATTTTAAAAACGATAACCATCGATAAAAATATTATTATTATATTAGTTTTTCGGAAACGGTATCGGTACGGTCGGAAAATTTCCATACCGTTTTCACCCCCAGCCAAGTCCCAACAACGTTCCGAGGTCACAGCGCTCGTCCGGGCGTCCATCGCTGCCAATTTCAGGCCCGTTGTTTTGGCGCCCGAATCCCCCTCCCGCATTTTTCCCCTTCAGAAAACCCCGCGCGCGCGGCCTTCTCGATTCCTGCCCGTCCGATCCGCCCTCACAGCCTCACCGCCTCATCTCCGCCGTCAATTGGCCCTAACCCCACCGACCACCCGCGGCCCTCGTCTTCCTCCTCGCCGCGCCCCCTTTCACAACGGAGCCGGGCGCTGTCCCCCCCTCCGCGCTGCACCGCAAACCAGCCGCCGCCTCCCGTCAAGACCGTCCTTCGCCGCTGCAGCCGTGAGGGCATCCCTCCCCCTCCCCGCCGAGCGAGCTACACCGGCCTCTTTCCCCCCCTGCCCCGTGCTGGACGGTGAGTGGCATTCTTCTTCCCCCTTTAAAAGTTTTCTAAGGTTGATGTGTATATCTCGCTTAGGTCTGGGGATTTTTGGGTATGATACTTCTTGATTTTGTTAGGCTACTCATATAGCATATGGTAGTTCAGATTTGGATGTGTCTTGCACATATGTTGGGTTCTGCACACTGGTTAATTCTGTAGTTTAGCTATTTTCACATAGAGGTTGCACATATGCATGCTAATAATTTGCTGGCAAATTTGCATAATTCACCGCAGCCACCGCCGCGTCCGTTTCTTCACTCTCCGTCTTTCCAAGCAGCATGACGAGAGGCGAGAAGGGGATGCAGCCCAAGATCAGTGCGTTCTTCAAGCGTCAGGCCCCCGAGCCCGAGACGAGCAGGTTCTTCATCTTGGTCCCCTCTTCAAATCTGTTAGCTGTAGCGATCCGGTACCAAATATTGCCGGATTCCATTCTAGTAGCAAATTTCTGCAATATTCCATCAATTAGAGCGAATATTAAAATCGCTCGTCAGGTTGGAAAAAAATGGTTGTTGATTTAGTTCTCGTTAATTCCCAAGCATGCTGTCCGACATTGGCATGTTCCTGGATTCAGATTTGATAATGGACTGATCAATCTTTGTTGATTTGGTAAGTGGCGGTGACACGCATAGGGAAGGAACCTGCGGGACGGAGGTGAAGAGGCCCAAGAGCTGTGCGGATGGCAAGGTCCTCAACAAGAAGAGGAACTACGCGCAGTTCCACCTGGAGCTTGGGCAGCCCGATTTTCTCCTCCACATGTGCTCGGTTTGTGGCATGATGTATGCCCGCGGGAACGACGACGATGAGAAGGCTCACAAGGCATACCACAAGAGTTACTTCGAGGGTGTCCCGTTCAAGGTGTTGCACCTGATGTATATTTGTGAATCTCACTCTTCTGTTCATCTCGTGTTATAAATTTCTGTGAAGAGTTTATGACAAATGTTTGAGTTGCAGGGTTGGCGCAATGAAACCGTGGTCGCGAGGTCTGAAGGTGGGGATCGGATAATTCTTGTGACTGATGAAAATTCATGTGCTCGGAACAGCAAGGTATTTTGCCTGAATGACTAACTGTATTGCCTAGATAGTTGAAAGAAATCACTAGTTGGGGTCTTGGGGAAATGAATATTGAAAAGAGTGGGTTCCTCATAGTTCTAAACTGTAGAATGTGTGTCTTTACTAACTGCGAAGTTTCTGATCCAATTTTGCAACCACTTTACATTTACGAGAAGTTCAGAAGCAGATTGCAGACATTTTATGATTATGTAATGTCATGTGAATATTTCAGGTCCAGGAGGTGATCAAAGTGGTACAGAAGGAGCTGGGGTTTGGTGAAGGTCAGCTCCTTCACAAGCTTTGTAAGGTAACATCAGCTCTTAGTTCAAATATGACAACATCTATGCACATATATTCATCCTAATGGGTAAAACCTCATTTGCGTTGCATAGGTATATTTGTTCATATCTAGTCAGAGGATAGTGGGATGCCTTGTTGTGGAACCAATCAAAACAGCACATAAAGTGATTCCAGGCTCCACAGAGGAAAACGGCAGTGATCTGCCTGTTGATAAAATTGAACCAGTCAAAACAAACCATACATTAGCGTTCGGGAAAATCAGTTTTAAGAGGGAAGTCCTGAAACGGCATGATCATTCAGACAAGAACAAAGAAGAGTACCGAGATCCTGGTGCTATAATATGTGAAAAGGAAGATGTTCCTGCACATTGTGGATTTCGAGCAATTTGGGTTGTACCGTCACGCAGAAGAAAGCGAATAGGGTCACAACTGATGGATGCTGCTAGGTAAGTTCTAAGTTTGATGCGCATTCTCACCTACTTTGCTTCACTTAGCATCTTTCTTTTTCGCAGCATTCCTGCAATGCCCGTCTTGAACTCTTGATAGCATACATTGTTCTTTTTGGGGGGAATACGCAAAAGGCTTGCGCATCATTGCACTAAGAGAAGGATAGCATGCATTGTTCTCTGTAACAACAATGTATAGATCCATCATAGCATGCATTGTCAATTTGGACAAATTCCAAGCTTTTGACCAGATTATAGGACTAATAAAACTATTTGTTAACTGACATCACACTGCAAATATCACTGAATTATTTATCTGTCTGTCCAGTTGTTCTCTTCTATGCTCTGCAAGCATTTCCAAGAGTTTGATATTATCTTATCTTGCTAAGGCACTCTCCATTCGTCTTCTGCAGAAAAAGCTTCCTTGAAGGCGAGACTTTGTGCATCTCACAGTGCGCTTTCTCACCGCCTACTTCCTCCGGGAAGGCGCTGGCACGCAGCTATTGCAAGACCAGCGCATTCTTAGTCTACAAGGAGCAAGATGCATAGGAGATGCTGCAGAAGATGTTACATATCTGAAACTTCTCTTCCCATTGTAAAAATTGTTTTGCTGGGGATATATGTGAAACATAAACAGGCATGTTCTGTTTTTAGTGTAAGTCTAAGCACCAGAAGCAGTGCGTTTTTGCAGGATCTCTATGTATTGACACTTTGGATTTCCTGATCAGCAGCATTTTCTGAATATCATTTCATATTAGTAGCTTGCAATCTTCCTTGGGGAAGATGAGATCTTTATCTTCCTTGGGGAAGATGAGATCTTTATTAGTCCTTGGGAGTTATTAACAAGCAGAGTTATCTTCTAGTGTTAACCTCTGTCTCTCAATACTCTCAAAACCCAAGAAAAACACAGGGGAAACAGTACAAGCCGCTGCAATCATATGGGAACATGTCACAACTTTGGTCAATATATACAGCAGACCGATGATACAATGTTCTGATAACTAGTCAGAATCAACAATGGGCGACACTGATGCTTGTGCGCCAGAATAATACATCTTTTAATGTTTTCTCCTCGTCAATGGACCATGGATGGCTGCATTTGAGTACTCATCAACCACTGATTGTGTAAGTGATGGACGCAAGGATCTTAGCGCGGCCTGGAAGTGAATATCGTCACATACAAAACGTTCTGACCTCAGACTTTCCCTCAAGGCCTTCAAGATCTGCGCCCGTGAAAAGCTCGGTACGCTCTGCTACCTTCCAAAGATCCACATCATCTCCTAATGGCATTTTGCGTGTATGGATGCGTAGTATTTCATATCGACCTTCCGCATCTGGTGGTGGAACATACAAAACCTGCAGTTAAAATGAAAAAAAAAGAACATGATTATTGTTTGCTATGTGTGAGGGAGAGGGAGAGGGAGATCGGGATACCATATCAAAACGCCCTGGGCGCAGAAGAGCAGCATCAATTGCATTTGGGCGATTAGTAGCAGCCAATACAATAATTCCCTACATCAAAAATTGCAAGATACTTTTTTAGTACAAAGAAAGGGCATATATGAGATATGACAAGGAGAGTCACATTTGAATGCCATCGTCAATCTAAATATGTAAGAGGTACCGTAGCCAGTTCTAAACCATCCATTTCCGTCAATAGAGTTGATAAGAGTCTTTCTCCAACCGTGGCATTGCCACTAGAGTTCCCGCTGGGACCAGTTCTGAACGATTACAAACTCCAATATTAACATTCACTGGTCAGATGTGGAACATGCGCAGAAGCAAAGTTTTCATAAATTGATTCTACTATATGAAAATAACATTTGGGGAACCATATCCAACAAAATATGCTTAACACTTCTGACACCTCTTCAACTTCCTAATCATGTACACCATGGAAAAGATGCAAATATTATTATTACGTAATTATTTTTTTATTAGAGAAGGGTATTTTTTACCCGGCCTCTACATCCAACAGATATATACGGCCATTAAAATAGGGAACTTAGCCCCGCAAACAACCCAATCTGAAATTCGCTCCATAGGACGGCCATTGAAATAGGGAACTTAGCCCCGCAAACAACCCAATCTGAAATTCGCTCCATAGAAGATTTGAACTCAGGACCTTGGGGTACTACTCAGGTCATTATAACCACTAGGCTATAATTATTACGTAATTATAGAAGATAGCCTATAACAATTCATGCACATTCTTATGATGACTGTACAGAATCATTTTTACCAATATCATGCATCATGTATCATAGATCTCACTAGTATGTGCCACAGGACAACAAGAGACAAGATATAAATGTGCACCTTTTAGGGGCAATTGCATCAGCCTCATCAAAAAATATAATGCTTGGAGAAGCAAGACGTGCCATCTGGAATGTACGTCGCAACAAAGCTTCACCTTCACCGACATACTTGGAGTATAACTCAGCACCACTGTTTGAAAATGTGTAAGAAATTTAGAACAACATAGAAGACTGTATACTGAACTCAAAATGATCCGGTTAGCATGTTCTAGCTATATTATTTGGACTAGCGTACAGGACAACGATTCAAGCAGCAGAATTTGAACAAATTATGCCAGCTTGGTCTTAACAGTACATGAAATAAACATGTTAAGTTCTTTTGCTTCCTCTAATAACTCCTTTTCAGTACATCTGAGATTAAGTGATGTTTATTGAATTTATTACAATATAAGCATCACATCAGAAAATATTATGCAATTCACAGGCTTCTTTTTGCATGTTGGAAGGATGAAATGAGAAAAAGAGAGAACAATTTTTACGCAGCAAACCTTAATGAAAAGAAAGAAGCTTGGGCAGCATGAGCAGCAGCCTTTGCAAGGGTAGTCTTTGAGCACCCTGGTGGACCATGCAATAGCACCCCACGGATAGGTGATATTCCAAGTCTATCAAATGAAGCAGCATGCTTGATGGGCCATTCAACAGCTTGCTGAAGTTTTTTCTGAAGCATAGCAACAATAACCATTAAAGGAGGTTTGATTAAAGAAATCCTAAAATGAGGCATATTTTACCTTAACAGCTTTCAAACCTCCTATATCATCCCATGAAACAGCTGGAATTTCTTTAATTACCCCTCTTGTCACACTATTTTTGGCCACAGATTTAGCAGACTCCCAATCCTCCATGATTAGCGTTAGCACATTCTCACTCTCTGATGAGCTTGATAATCTACCATAAGCACGTCTTGCAGCTTCTCGACATAAAGCTTGTAAATCAGCTCCAAGATAACCATTGCAGGATGCAGCAACAGATTGAAGATCAACACATTCACCAAGATGTAGATTCTTGGTATAAAGCTAAAAACATAATATGGTCTATAAGATTAAGCTTCATATAAGAAAAAATCATCATGAACATAAGTTAACCACATCCAAAAAATGCAGGGCTTGCTATGTTACATCATAAAATACAACATTCTTTTACTATTTTTGAGGGGAAAACTACATTCTTATATGATACCTTAAGAATCTCGAACCTTTCTTCTGCTGTAGGAACAGTAACCTCTATCTCTGAGTCAAAACGCCCAGGCCTTCGCAGTGCTGACTCAATAGCATCCACCCTAATGAAAGCAAGTTGTGTTTTCATTCAAGAGAAAAACACGAAGTTCATAACCAGAATAACTAAAGGAAAACTTAAGCGCACTTAGTGGAATATGCTGCCGTATCAACAGAGGAACTTCCTAAAATGAACATAAAATGTTAGGCTATTTGCTAAGATCACAAATCACGCAACTGACATTCCTGACCTGGTAGCAGATGCAACAACTAGGTGGGGAAGCAGCTTTGATGACTTCCCGTCCATCAGAGTCAACAGCTGACCAACAATGCGGGACCCTTGCTCTCTCCTGTGAAAAATACATTAATAATAACTTCTTGGCAAATATAAAATTTGTAGGTAATATAACAAACTTGCCTACCCCCCTCCCTCACACCCTCTAGGCCGAAGTGACCCTTTGAATTTACCCTCAACCTTAATCTTTGCTAAAAAACCAAGAAATGCTTATACTCCCTCCGTCCCACAAAATATAATATATGACTGGATGTGACACATCCTAGTACAACGAATCTGGACAGGTATGTCCAGATTCGTTGTATCGGTATGTCTAGATTCGTTGTATTAGGATGTGTCACATCCAATACTAGGTTGGTTTTTTATGGGACAGAGGAAGTATTTTGGAACAGAGGGAGTATCTTGCAGGTGTCTAATTTACAACATTGATTTTGTTTAACAAAACGCTAGAATGAAACATGACAGCTAGAGTATATGCCAAAATTAATGTCATCTAACATTTTTCTCCCCCAAAAAGTAGTTAGTTAAGACTATTTTGATTAGGAAGTGATTTAGTGACACCTTTTTTTTCCCTAGTTTAATCATAGTATGGTTATTTGGTTGTCTCCTCTTATTACCTTCATAAACTCTTCCCAGAAAGTTGTTAAGGATGAGCATATTCTAGGAAACCGAACTCTGGAAGTGAAGATAGCGACTCCCAAGGTAAACTACGGAGATAAGTATCTTTGATCGTAGGTGCATCAATTCTTCAGTAGTTCAGTTTCAGATTGATCATGTCTTCTTTTTCTTGTTAGTAATGTGACAAGTTCTTAACACAGGAAGAAATGCGAGCTCCAGGAATCAAGAAAGCTACTAGGATATTTGTTGCTCGGATTCCTCAATCTGTGGATGAATCAAAGTTTCGCAGGTGAGATTTAATCTATATATCTAGCAGGACATCAATTAATATTTGGATTTGGCTAAGCTATAATGGTTTCTGAACAGGCATTTTGAAGCTTTTGGAGAAATTATAGACCTTTATATGCCAAAGGTGAGAGAGCTAAACTGATTTTATATATTTTGTAGAGATATAATATCCTATATCTAAGTTCTGTCCTCTAATTTTGATTTAATCTTTTCACTCAAATACTGATAATGCAAACATAAAGCACAATAGAAATTCATTTTCTAAATGACATCATTTTGTTCAGTTATTCTGGAACTCCATTTGATATGCCAGCAAATTTCTTTTCCCCATGTTAATACTCTATTCACAAATACTTGTCACTTCTAACTAACATGCATTCTAGATCATGTTCCTCTCAATAAGGAGATCAATAAACATTTGTTTTTATGGTTTTATGGGATCAGTTTTTTGGAAACATACAATGACCTATGTATCTAGTGTGAAGTACTGAAAGCAAACAATCTCTTCTCTTCTTTTAACTTAATCTTCAGTGACATCAATTAGAAGTTAGAACGTTGTTGCTTGATTGCTTGTACTCTTTCTTGAAGCCTTAAAAAATTAAGCACTAAGAAAGATTGTAGTAAATGTGTAATGGCTTTAAGGTAATCATTGGAAAGGAAACGAATTTTGGAAATTGCTGCACTTAAAGAATACTCTCTCCATTCCAAAATATAAGGATTTCTAGGTTGTTTAGCAAATACTAAGGTTAGGTCAAAAGATTCATTTTTAGTCACTTCAGTTGTCAATTTTTGAAGTTTGAATTGCTTAGATCCCCTTTCCAAGCATTTGATTGGTTGTATAATCATTGAAATGGTAGAAATCATGGGAATCAGTGCAGGAATCCTTATATTGTGGTACAAAATTTGAATCCTAGAAATCCTTATATTTTGGAACGGAGGAGTAAATACTTGGAAAAACTGTGAGCTCATACAGCCCATGGAGGGATAGCCTGGCCAACCGTGCCTGCATTATACCAGTTATAATTGGGAAGATAGGTGAAATCGGACCTGCACATGCTCAACTTCTGATCTAGTCCTTGTAGTTGCAGATGCAACTATCAGAAGTTCCATTGTTTGTGCCAGCCATATGTTTGCTGCAACAAAGTCAATCCAAAATTCCAAATTCTCCTGGAGAGGGTTGAGCCTTTGAGATGATTAACCTCTACTAATTTGGACAGTGTTTTCTTTCCTATCTCATGTAGGAACTGCGTTCAAAAAGCCATCGCGGAATCGGATTTATCACTTTCCGGAGTGCAGGTATGTGTAATCCTTGAGTGTGCATAAATAATCCTTGAATACTCATTTAGGTGCAATATTTGATTAATCCATTGATCCTGTGAGAACAAACTAATTAGTGTTGGAAATGATATAGCTTATGTCCTCCGATTCAAGGAGCAAAATTCTCTCACATTCAGACCACTGGCATGATAATGGTGGTGTTTTTGGTGCTGGTAGCGATGCCAGTGTTGCACACCAATGTGCTACATGTTATCACTAATCCCATAGGTTTAGACCCATGCTTAGGGATGGCAGTAACGTGCAGTGGTGGGTGGCAAGGCTGTGCTTGTGCTGCCAACTGCAGGTGGAATGTTTAGTTCTTATCAATGTCGGCATGTGGCATGCCCAATGAAATTGGCAGCCAAAACATCAACTCTCCTGATCTGCTACCCAAAATTGTTGTTGTAAAGGCCATCTGGTTTTGGCTCTAGAATTTTGGCATCGAATCTACAGATCAATTCTTATATATTTTGTTCTGGGGCTTAGTGTCTACGTTTTTTTTTTTTGGTCTTTCTGCTCCCTTTTTTTTTCATAACTCTCTTCATATTCATGCCAATTCTGAAATAATTTACTTTTTCTTGGAACTTTGATTTTGGTTTTTTATTTGAATTCCTATAGTATGCTTGCAACTTTCATTTACCACTACATTTTTGGAGAATGTTCCTCAACTATATTTTCAGCTTCAATCCATGTATACTTTCCTAACTTTGAGCTGTAATTTATAGAATGTGTGGACAATATCATGCAAGAAACACATGAGCTTGATGGTACAACTGTAGCTGTTGACCGTGCAACTCCAAAGGTGCATTTACCTAATCGCTTATCTCATCTTTGATATATATAGTTATCTTCTACCAGGTTGTATCTAATACTCATCCTTTATTTAATTATAATTCAGTGGATGCCCTATGTATTTATTGTTAGAAACTCAATGGTTACTCTCATTAAGAAGAGGATGGCACTCGAGATGGGGGCAATTTTCTGGTTTTCTTCATTCACAAAAACACAAAAGCCATACCTTCCCGAGGGAGGTTGGATACATATATATAGCCATAGCTGGCTGGATGGCTGCTAGCTAATTGCTGCCCACACTAGTCTAAAATTTGAACGCAATGCTGTCCTAGAGAGCATCCAAACTGAATAAAGCATAAAGGAGATGCTAATGCTGTCCTAGGGATGCTAAAAGCAAAACCGAAAGATGCTAAAAGCAAAACTGAAAGGATGCTGTCCTAAAAGGGGAAAAACAACCTAAAAGCAAGAGAAGGACCACAAGGACCAAAGACCACAAGGCTTATTCCATCATTCTCCCCCTAAGTCTTGTGTGTCGTCTTGTGGGAAAGTTGGGCCATCCCGATCCTGGAGCAGAGCTCGAGGAACTTGATCCTCCCAAGAGGCTTGGTGAGCAAGTCCGCAAGCTGGTCCTTGGTGTTGATGTAGCTCGCCTTGATGCTCCCTTCCTCCAAGTAGTTTCGGATGAAGTGGTACCTCACCCGGATGTGCTTGCTCCGTTCGTGGAAAACGGGGTTCTTTGCCAGGGCCAGAGCGGACTTGCTGTCCACCCTGAGCTCTACTGCTCCAGTGTCTCTGCCGAAGAGATCACCAAGCAGTCGAGCAAGCCGGAGCGCCTGGGTCGAAGCGGCGGATGCCGCCATGTACTCGGCCTCGCAGCTGGACAGGGCCACCACCTGCTGCTTGACCGACTGCCAGCTAACGAGGCACTCGCCGAGGAAGAAGAGAATCCCGCTCGTGCTCTTGCTGGTGTCGATGTCACCAGCGTGGTCGCTGTCGCTGTACCCGACGAAGTGTGCCTTGCCAGGACACCTCGGGTAGTAGAGACCGTGGTCGAGAGTCCCCGCAACGTAGCGGATGATCCTCTTCACAGCCTGCTGGTGCTCCGTCGTCGGTTGCTACATGAATCGACTGACGTAGCCAACGGAGAAGGCCAAGTCCGGTCGTGTGTGGGTGAGGTAGCGAAGGCTCCCCACAAGACGCCGGTACTGTGTAGCATCCACCTCCTCCGCCGTGCTGTCACGGCTCAGCTTCAGTCTCTCCTCCATTGGAGTGAGAGCTGGGTTGCAATCGGTGAGCCCAGCCAGCTCAACGACGCGCTTAGCGTAGGCGGTCTGTCGAAGCGTGATTCCGGAGTCGTCCTGGTGCACTTCGATCCCCAGGTAGAAGGAGAGAGGCCCCAGATCACTCATCTGGAAGGTGGCCTTCATCTCCTTCTTGAACGTCGCCACCTCCGCATCTTTGGTGCCAGTGATCACCAAGTCGTCGACGTAGACACCCACCAGCAAGGCATTTCCTCCATTGCCCCGCCGGTAGATGGCCGCCTCGTGCGGGCTTTGCTTGAAGCCCATCCCCTTGAGCGTGGAATCCAACTTGGCATTCCACGCCCTCGGTGCCTGCCGCAAGCCGTAGAGGGCCTTGTGCAGGCGTAGCACCTTGCCCTCCTTGCCGGGGAGCACGAATCCCGGCGGCTGGTGCACGTAGACCTCCTCCTTCAAGTCGCCGTTCAGAAATGCCGACTTGACGTCCATGTGATGGACACCCCAGCCTTCCTGAGCAGCCAGTGCAAGGAGGAGTCGCACGGACTCCATCCGTGCCACGGGAGCGAAGGCATCGTCGTAGTCGATCCCCTCTTGCTGCACAAAGCCGCGTGCTACCA